AAATAATGAGAAAATTGGCTAAATTTTATAATATCTATCTGTAGTATGAAATGTAACCTTTCAAACGACATGTACTGTGTCCCAATAGGTTATGTGCAAACGAATATACACGATGTTAATTCCATCTAGCGGCAAAACGCCACGAACTTTTTCGAATACCTATTATTTTGAAGCATTCGTTTTATGTTTTATTGATTATTATGCATACGGATTCCAGATCTTGCAAAATACTGCCTCCTTCTCGCGTTTTAATCAAAGAGTCACGTGCTGGGGATGATTTATTTAATTAAAGTAATGAATCATTTGTAATTCTCACTAACTATAACGATAAAGTGAAGATAACTTGTTCACGGCTATTGTTTTTGTCTTAGCAGACCAGTCAATTCTTAAAAGCTAAAAGAGATTGACCATGACATTAAAGTCGATACAGGGATCATTTCAAAGGCTATCAGATCTCAGGGAAGTGCAAACCTCAAATTCCGAGGGAAGACATGAAAAGAGTGGAATACTTTACAAGCAGATATCTTTTAATAATATTCGGTCAAATTGAATAAAAAGTGAAGAAATTTTGGGGCATTGTAAACTTTGTCAAAAATGAACCGAATTGAAAAATTCAAAAACAGGTCAATTTGTCTCATTGTCAGCTACAACTTTTGTTTCAAGAAAAAAAACTACTTCTACTTAAAAAAAATGACTGCCATGCTAAACTCTCGAAAGTGGTGCCATCTACAATAAAACTGATAACGCCATTTTATGTACCCCTTGGAACTTAACCTAAAATATTTCTAGCCATTCTTCTATCGTTTAGAGATATCCAGTTGAATTCATTAAAGTGGTTCACCTTATATATGAAAAATCGAATATTGCCAACCTAAAAGCCCTCCTGAGCCGTGTCCTTTACAGATTTTAACTTGATAAAATATTTCAGGTTAATCTGCAGACAACAAAAATAATAGCCATGGACGAGTTATCTGGGTCACACTATATTTACATTTTCTAGACCGTTTGTTTAGACTCTGTCGCGATCTCGATTTGCCATTTCTCTTTGTCGATAGTTCTTCGTCTATCGGTTTGCTGATTTCTTCGCTTTCTAGTTTTTCCTGCAGCGCCAATTGAGCGAATTTCCTACGACGAAGATCCATGATCTCTTCGTGCGTCAATGTAATTCTACAATTTTTTTAACCGAACTTTAATTTGGGGCAACAAAAATTATTGACTTTTCTTTTTATACTATTTAGCAGCTTTTGATGGCAAGATCACAAAAATGGAAGTTTTAATGTTATACGTATGTAAAGTTGAGCTGTTTTGGTATATGTGACTGGTTAATCCGACGCCATGTTGGCTTTCATGGCTTTCATCCATCCTCCATTGATCGATTAGGTAGAGAATGACATTAACATGGTAAAATATGATACGAAAATACTGTCTGAGCAGGTTTGGAATCTAATTGACCAACAGAACATCGGTAAAAACCAATATGGCGTCGCATTAACCTACAAAATGTGCCAAAAGTGCTCAACTTTAGATACGAATAACTTTTAAACCGTTGGATTCCTAACGTAAAACTTAGATTTATGAATTCTAGGCCCTAGTAAGCCCTAAAACTGTTCTCGACTCATTTTCCTCATAATGCATAAATTCTGAGATGAGAGTCCGTTATTTTGTGAAAACCTTGTATGTCATTCATTGATTTTTGTATCAATCGTACGAAGACCTATTTTTAGGTTAAAATGTTCTTTTCATACATTTTAAGCTCTCGTATTATCAGCGACGCTCCCTCGTCGCATATTCGATTTCCAAGTAAGACTAGACTCTTTAATGATCTGGAGAGACGAAACAATTCTATTAAATTCATTATACAAATATACGAATTATACAGGGTGTCACGAAATTGGTGTAAGAATCGGAAGTGGGGGGTAGCTGAGACGATTCTGAACAACAATTTCCTTTGCAAAAATGTCGTATGTTGCTTCGTTTTTGAATTAATAACGAAAAACCACCGACCAATCACAGCGTCCGAGTAGCGCGCGTTCAGCTGCGAGAGTAAAGATGGCGGCGTAGCCGCTTGTGCGCGCGCTCACTCGGGCGCTGTGATTGGTCGGTGGTTTTTCGTTAATAACTCAAAAACGAAGCAACATATGACATTTTTGCAAAGGAAATTCTTGTTCAGAATTGTCTCAGCTACCTCCCACTTCCGATTCTTACACTAATTCTGGGATACCTTATATATATACAGAGTCTTTTAAGCAAAACAAATTCGATTTCTTGAAACAACCAAAGTTCTAACCCCCTTAAATATCTATAATATTTCTTTACATGTTTTCCTATATAATTTCTATTAATATATCGCTAAAATAATTCGCGTATTTCCCAAATTCTACCAGTGCATTTATAGTATTTGCATCCATATTTACTTTTAGAAAGTGAAAAACAAATAATTTTTTTAAAGTGTCACGCTAAAAAGACTCCTTAATAATTTCGTTTGATATAATTTAATTCACCTATTTGACCGAAGCATGCAACCAATGCAAGCCGCTCCATTTTTCGTAATATAATTGTTCGCCAAATTCAAAATTATTAATTTAGGATTGTTCGGTGGATCCTGATACCTCAATTCGTTTGCAATCTTCATCATTCCATCGTCAGATATTTCACATAGCTTCAGAGACAAGTACCACAGACTGAAAACAATTTTCCTTCGTTAAACTTGCAATTAGCTCTAATTGAACAATTTCAAGGTAAACTTACTTCCCGAGTGGCGAGCAAAGTAAATGAAAATTCTCCTGAGTGTTTGGATTCATGTCCAAATTCAAATCTCTCAGACATCCGATGTTCGTCATCATATCTGCTATCTGCATTATGCCAAACGCGTTTATTCGACAATTTGGCAATCTATTAAAATGCGATACTATACTGAAGTGGTGGATTATTGTTTATAACCGAAATATAACGTATGACTAGCTTCTTATGGCTGAATTCGATATACAGTAAGGTTTCCATAAATGCACAATTTTCTCTACCATAAATGCACAGTAACCAACTCCACCACTGGGAGTTATACCTCTTGAGGGGCCTCAGAGTTCGATCTCCGAACAGTGTAAACATGATTTAGAACCGGATTACTCGGTGAGACAATTTAAAGCAACGGTGAAACTTTTTTATTATTATATTTTGTGTTGCAAAACTTTTACCATCGTATTCCTGACATTTTTCTGATTAAAATGAGTTCAAACACGACGTAATTCGCAATACGACTTTTACTTTTAAGAACTTATTATGTATCATATATCTGTGCATATATCGTAGAACACTAACTAAAAAAAGATGCATGGTAAATATCATTCGAATTATATCGTGTTTGGGCTCATTTTAATCAGAAAAACGTCGGGAATATGATGGTGAAAGTTTTACAACAAAAAAGTTAGTAATAAAAAAGTTTCACCGTTGCATTAAATTGTCTCATCGATATACCCTGGTGTTTTCGCTTTGTCTTCTTCTTTATTCGCTGTCCTTCTCTACGTTCGAAGCTCGTCGGCAAACATCAGAGAATATAGAAACTTTACGATAAACGCACAAAGTCAGTCCTGAGCTTGTGCATTTATGGAAACTTTACTGTAGCAGACAGACCCGGGCATTTTTGAAATGATATTATTCAAAATATTTTTTCAAATAACATATTATTATATTTTACATTTATTTTCATACCCGTGATCACGTTTGAAATAACATTATTCGAAATATTATTTCAAATAAGATATTATTATATTTTATATTTATTTAAAATAATCCTTTGAAATAATTGTGAATTCCATCCGAAATCGAACATTTTTTGGAATAACACCTCGTATTTTTACGAAATTTGAATATGCTATGCCCTTTAGCAATATTTAACAATATAAACGTTTTTCGAAGTATTTTTGAAGATTTAGAAATTTATGAAATTCTGTAAATTTACTTCAGAACTGTGATGGTGCTATATTTCTTCATCGTCGAATTCAATGCGTCCAAAATACAGATCGATACCTCACGACGTGTGACGAGACAACGAATGAAAAATTAATTGGAACAATCATATTACCACGATAAAGAATAAAAATTGTTTCCCGTGATACTCATCTTTGCTCTCGATTTTTTTCGGCGCGTCTTGTTTTCTATTTTCGTACGTTAAATAAAAGATGGGAGATCCGTCGTCCAAGGTTCTTAAAAATTACAAACAACATGAATGTTTGATTAAAATTTGTTTCTTCAATTTCGTAAAAGATAGTTACTTTTCGCTCATTGTCAGCCGAGACAAAGCACTCGAAATTCGAACGTCCACGTCGCTTCTGATCTATATGTAACAATTTTGGATTTAAGAAAAGGTTGTGTTACGTGCTATGTACAGGGTGTGGCATTTAAAACAGGCTACCTGAATAATTCTTTTACTTTTACCGATAGAAAAAATAGAAAAAAACTGCCAGAGTTGTTTGATTTCGAGGAGCACGTAAGATGGCGCCAATAACTTCTTTATCAGTGGAAGCGTAGAGGAGGTATAAAGGTGGACTTTGCTTTTTTTAAATAGAACGACATAGTTAACAATAAAGCGCCATGTATTTTCAAAAATCGCTTTTTCAAAAACGACTTATTTTTTAAGGTAGAATCAATCCTCTTTCGGTTATACTATCTATTAAGGAACGTATCGCATAGCATAGTAAATACAGGATGTCCCAAAAATGTTGGAGGTCATTGAAAATTGAAAGAGGCTTCGTTAAGAAGATATTAACAGATAACGCCCGACCAATCAAAGCGCGAGTATCAAGGGGAACGCCCTCGGTGGGCGTGGCTACGCACTAGGCGGCCGCGATAGCATAGGGTACGCGCTCGGTGGCCGCGTTCTGATTGGTCAGTGTTTTCCGTTAATATCTCCTCAACGAAGCCTCGGACAACATTTTCGCTAAGGAAAAAGTTGTTTCAAATCACCTCCAGAACCGCCCCTTTCAACGTGTTACAACATTTTTGGAACACCCTGTATAATTGACTTATTACTATGAAAATCCAAAAACATTTTTAACATAACTAAAAGTTGTCAATAAGTAAGGTGTAAATTCCAAAAGTGCAAAAAAAACTGTACTTTTTCTAAAGTTATAAACTTGAATGAACTCACGGCAAACCTAGGTAACGGCTGAACATTGTATTGCTCCGAGTACTTTAAGAATTCAGAGACGAAATTTTCGCGATGACTTCTCGCAGTATCACCTAGTAAATTGTAATTGTGGAATATTTTGAATTATACTAAATACATTTCCTAAATTTACCCATCACCGATGGCGTTCTGTCTCTAGCCGAGGATGCGTACTTGCTTCTTTTATCGAACATGATTATAGTGGATTATCTATTAACTATAATTGCAATTATCAAGAGGTTAGGACCAACTTGGACCAACTGCTACGAATGACAACCAATCGAGCATCAAATTTACTTTTTCACTAGATGATTCTTTTATTTTCACCTGAACAAATAATATATATGAAAATGATACAACTAATGGTGCCGTTTATTAGCGAGAATAGGAATTATTTTTTCTATAAACTTGAGCCACAGATAAGATATGGATAGACCAGAGTCTCCGATTTGGCCGGTCGGTATTACAGCAGATTTTTCTGCATAGAAATGGTTATACCCACAGATACACTGCTGGCCGATGAAAACAAGATGGCGCTTTCTTCCTATTTTTTTTTTCGTTTATTATAGTGTGTAGATAACTTCTACTTTGCACTTTCTTTACAACAAGAGTATAAAATACAAAATTTGACTTATAATCTAATAACAATCTTTGAAGCTTAATCTATTTTACATTGAGTTAGATATGCCTAATATTATAGTAAGTATTGCTTAAGTTATAATATATTGCAACTTATGTTGTTATGTCTTTATAACAGTCTATTATTCTTATATTCTGTTTCTATCACTAGGGACTATATCCCTATGTAATTGATGCACCAATTGAGAGGATAGGCTAAGATTTATTTGTAGAGGAAAATTCTATAGGTAAGAGTCGTACTTGTTTTATCAATAGTCTTCTTATTTAATAACAACGATACTTTATATCTTCAGTATTGCTTATCAGTCTTATATGTACTTCATTTGTAGTTTATTTATAAAGGAACCAACTATTAATACTTTTGTACAAGCTTGCTTTAAATCTAACAGGGTTGAATCTGACCCGCAGACAGCCACAGGTTCATGCTGTCCCTGATTGAGATTCACCCTTTACTTAGTATCTATTTCGCGATTCACAATGTTAACTTTCTTCCTACGTCTGTATTCCATTGTGAATGTAAAAGAAATAGTCACTCACTGGAGAAAGGCTATAACTCAGAAGGGATGATTAATAGTTTGAGGTAAATAATAGTAATTAGTATATTTGGAAGAAATAATGTTTTATTTTCTTTATTCTTTTTTTTTTTGTTAATACATAGATGTGTTTGGATTTTCAAATGTTGCCGTTGTATTTTCGTGATGTACAACTGGTTCATTAGGTGATGGTAGTGGAGTATTTTGTGATGAACTATTGGAAGTATGAGCCGAACTGTGTTGAGAACTATGTTGGTAGAAGTGTTGCTTTGTTAACATTTTCATTTCATACTTTTGAACGGCAGAAAAAATCTCTGATTTCGCCAAATGTAGATAATACGGAGGTAAAGCTTTCAAAGTTGGTGCAATGCCAGCCAAGAATGCATCTACGGGATGCTGCAGGATGCTATTTTGTTTCTGCTTAATGAAATAATCTACTAATTTTGATGTCGCTGTTTGTTGAGGTGTCGCTATGTTTCTCGTTTTTGCTTTTCGTTTAATTGGCCTTCTGGAAATTTCAAATGTATCTGAAGTACAACTCAGATTATGTGAATCGTTATTCATGTGTAATGCAACATTTAATTCCGCTTCATCATTATGTACAACGTATTCGTTTTCTTCTTGGCTTTCTTCCTTTTTGCATTCTTCTGGTATGTCACGTTCTTCTTCTGTTAAGGTTTGATCTTTCTCTTGGCTTTCAATACTATCTTTAGTTTCTCTTTGGTCGAATTGTTGGTTCAAAAAACTTAATTGCTGCGAATATTTATAAACTTTGACTTTTTTTCCACTTTTCCCGCTTTTAGTCATTATCTTCTTAAGAGATCTTCTGTAATTGTCTCTTATATTATTCCATCGGGCTTTACATACTGACACTGAAAAAAGTATCGAACAAAGCAATTGCTATCAACTCTTATTCCGTATTAGTTAGTGGATCACTTTTTCTTGTAGATATAAATAAGATTCCTTTCTTTCAGGTATGTAGCTACAGGAGTTATTCTTAAAATCTTTCTTAATTAATTAATTAATTTCTTAAATAGGGTCGCGAGATTTTAATGTAAAATATTTAATATTCTCTTCAATATCTTCTTTTTATTTATATTATTGCAAAAAATACAGTTTTGATGAAAAATAGGGTATATAATTTCTATAACTATAATAAACACAATTTTACAACTTTTTGTGCAATTTTAAATTCACATATTTTTTGTACGTATTTAAACAAAGTCTAAAGCTATATTTTTTCATATGTATACATATTGTTACCTAATCAATAAATCATCACAAAATATTAACATATCTTTATTTTATATTTTTTGAGTTGCAAAAAGAATCACAATCATAAATACTTGGCAATACACAGTTTAAATTATTGTATATTTTGATAAAAGTATAATTAATATGAAAAAAATGAAAATAAATTAAAAATGAAAGAAATATTGATAAAATATTACTCGTTATTATTGGAAGTTATACTGTGTTAAATATACAGGGTATCCCAAAAATATTGGAGTTCCTTGAAAATGGTGGTTCGGAGGATGATTTATTTATAAATTTGAAACAACTTTTTCCTTATCGAAAATGTTGTCCGACGCTTCGTTAAGGAGATATCAACAGAAAACCCCGACCAATCAGAGCGCAGCCGCTTAGGGCGTGGCGTACGCTACCGTGGGCGGTCCGCCGGCATACTCGCACTTTGATTGGTTCGGGGTTTTTTGTTAATATCTCCTTAACGAAGCCTCGGACAATATTTTCGCTAAGGAAAAAGTTGTTTCAAATCACCTCCTGAACCACTCCTTTCAAGGACCTCCAACATTTTTTGGGACACCCTGTATAATACATACAAGGTGTCCTACTTTAACTTGTACACCATAATAACTCGAAAATATGGTGTTTTAGCAAGAAATGTTTCAACACAATTTTGACAAACCCTCTATGTCACCGATATATAGGGTGTCTCAAAAATATTGGAGTTCCTTGAAAGGGGCGGTTCAGGGGGTGATTGAAACAACGTTTTCTTTACCGAAAATATTGTTTCAAATCACCTCCCGAACCACCTCTTTCAAGGACCTCCAACATTTTTGGGACACCTTGTATAATACACTTACATATTCTATTACACAGAATGTACCGTAACTAGTGTAAGAACCGGAAATGATTGTGAAACGATTCTTACATTAGTTGCGGGACACCCTGTACATATTATATTTATATTGTTAGTTATATTTATGTATTTATATTCACTCTAATACAATATGTCTAATAATAAGATAAGTATTATAATATAATGTAAGTACTTACCATCTTCTTTCATCCACGCCCCAATCTTATTCCAAACATTAATTTTATAAGTGGTGTCCATATATTTACTATCTGACAAATCGTATAAAGCCGGATATTGTCGAATTAATTCAATTAATTGTTCGTCGTTCATTTTTTATATACTTCTACAGGTATTTAAGCATGAAATATAAATTAAATTTTTAATATTCATTAACATTCTTTAATATTCTTGCGCGTAAAAATATGTGGATGAATTGACGTTATGATATACGCACCAAATATGGGGAAAATGAAATATAATATAATAATATATGATAATAAGAAAAAAAGCAGAAAGAAAAGTTCTTGAATATGTAATTAGTCGAAGGAACGGTGAATGTTTATAACATAACACGCACTGTTGTATATTAATGAAATAAATTAATATTCATTGGTAGTTTAGTTCGTCACTGTTTATTAAAACATATGAATAGTTACTCAATGATATAGCAGATATATAAATGTTTATACACTCAATTTTATGAACGCGTGCGTTCGTTTCTTTATTGTGTACCCTAGACACCGCCTCAAATTATACAGCACGGACGTCACGTTCCGGCAACGACACGTATCGGCACCGACACGACACAGTGATGCCAGATTTGTCTCCCAGTCGCGCATGCGCGTCGCAAAAAGCCGAGCGCGCAGTGCCGTAGCTATAGAAACAACGAATGATTCTATGATTCTATAGCAACGGTTGGCGTCAAAACCAAAGAGTATTAGTCTAATACAAATAATAATACTAATGTAGTATAATACTAAATAATACTAATAGTCTAATACTCTTTGGTTAAAACCAACAGAACCATTTTTTTAATTATAAAAAATATATTTTGTCTGTAAAATTATTTCAACCTTTACCCCAATGTTACAATTTACCCACACAATTAATATTATTGCATGCTAAGAAGTACTTCCAATTTTCATATGTAATTCTATTTTTCTTTGGGACGACTAAGACTAAGAGCACCAGTTTTATGGTCGTGTTAGATACTTTATTGACGCTAAAATCAGTGCGCATGCGCGACTGGGAACTAAATCTGGCATCACTGCACCGAACTGCATATATGAGCTCCCATACACCGCCAGAGACACGTAGCACAGTGGGGCGAGCGCATAGTATCATTGGACATTGGTACAACTAAGTATGAAATCAGTAACATATGTTAAATATTTATTATGAATTGTTCTCAGAAGGTATCTGTTTATATAATAATACTTATTTTTGTCATTTTTGTACTTATCTTATTATTTAATATAAATATTTATTCATTACCTTTTATAGATTCAAATCCATTTCTTCTTCCAAAAGTTGTTTTGCTTCTGGAAATTTCCTGGCCGTGTTCCCATCATTGAATGTTCCTTTTCCTTGTTTTACATAATCAACTAATAGGCCCATTTTATTTTTAAATTCCTTTTGAATATATCTTTTTTTTTCTTCAAATTGTTGCCTATGAAATCTGGTAGTCCAGCATTTAAAATCTAATCAGTACGCAATATGTATAAGCATTCGAAGCATCTAATTAAACAGTGTAAGGAGGATAACCCAAAAGAATAATAGTTAATATTGCTGGTCCTGGTGGATATTAAATTGTTCAGGATAGCTTTTATCCCTTTTTCGTACAGTACCGTAGTATGTGCATATACGTTTCAAAACTATGTTATAAACCACAGTTTTTTTTCATTTCTTCAATCTTTAACTTTTGTATTGTGATATACACATTTTCTATAGCTGATACTGGATAAGTGAATATTATTATTGTTGAAAAAAATATAACAGACATTCCACTGAGATCCATTAGTGTCTCCCAAAAGGGCAGCATCAACAATTAAATTAAATTTCTGACGAAAAACCAACTAAAAGCAAAAACTACGCGAATGGTTACAATCTACATACTTCTTAAAAACAAATGGTACAAAGTTGTTTCTGGGCAAGTTTAGGCGATTTTTATAATTTAATAAACCATTTATAACTTCTACAATGAAATGTCACAAAGTTCTGTTGTGCATTTAAATCATTTTTCTGTTTATTTTAGAATGATTACAACCCCAACATTTGATATTGCAGACATTCTTTTGGTAAAGTCATGTAATACAAGAATTACAATGTAAACTAAAAATAAGATAAATAGATCAACGTAACTAATTTCAGATGCCATGAGGTAAATAGTGAAGCAAAACATAAAAGTACTGTGAAACATAATTGTCAAAGGTTTAAAGATTCATTAAAATGTATTTAGGTTTTTAAAAATATTCAGACACATCACATAAAAATTCACCAACTTGAAAATACAGCTCCAGATAAGAACATTGTTCTCACTATGTTCAAAAGTCTATCATCCTTCACCATTGCTGTTATTTGTTTTTTAGACAAATTCGTAATGCAATTAATGCATTCAAATATATTTTATTCTTTCAATAATTTCTTCATTCACTATATTTGAATTACAATTTACAATTTTACATTACACAATTTTAATAATTTCAGCTTAGATAACTGTAAATTCTCAGTCTCAGTTTGCTCATCATCGAAAACAATCCAATTGCAGCATTCTATAGAGTTTGCTGTCCCAAATGTTTCAAAATACAATAAAATTTCGTTACTAATTACATTGTCTGTAGGTCGGGTATATCCAAAAGGGAATAACAGGCTAATTCCCTGTTCACCGGACGAAATTTGTAGCAATGAAACGTCTACGAGACACTCATGCTGACTCACCATTGCTAATTCAGAGTACCGAGTACCTTCCTCCCTATATTAGTATTAATATTGATGGTAATATTGGTAATAATAAGTTTTGTACTTACAATTCACATGCATTGGAGCAGACAGAAAGTGAGAACTGTTGGAGGACAGCTTGAACGAATAAGATCCTGGCTTCTAACGTACAAAACTTATGTGATCCAATATTTCAGGATCTATTAGCTGTAGGACAAAACACATTATACATGAAAATTGTGTATCTTTACTGCAAAATGTTAGTCAATATTCACGACAATTTGTGTATGTAAACTACAGACTAAACTACGGAATACCCATTTTCTGAAATTTTGTTTACCTGCATTATGGTAACGCAATAATGCGATAATGAAACTTACTCTATTTGTACTGTACTTACATTCTGGGCAAAATGGAATCCTTGAACCCGTGCAATCTAAGAACTGAAAAACTTGTACTGGAAAACTTCTTACTTGCTGTAAGAAGTATTCGTACAGCAACCAATTTAAAATAAATCATTACTGTACGAATACTTATTACACTGACTGACAAACCTATGTATTATAAGTAAAAAAACAATTGTATCAAAATTGTCTGAATCATGTAATAGATTGAATCTAGAGTTTCTACGTTTGAATATATGGTAGCTCTGAAAAGAGCTGATTTATAAACTGTGCCATCAGCTCAGAAGTAAGACAAAATCAAACAGCACGATACGTATGGAATGAAGAGAAAAGTCTTCAATTGATTCCATTGTATAGAGAGCGGGAGTAACTGTGGAACCCTTTGTCACACCGATGCCACATGAAGCATTTGACGTTGGATGGTGTGAATTCTCACAGATAATGGAAACTACAGCCGATATCTGTAAAGCAAAAATAACATCGCTATTGGCATCGTTTAGACGGGAAAAGGGGAAGGTGGAAAAATCAAGCGGAACTGGAAGAGGCAAATACAAAGCGTATCTTTATCATTACCCTTTTCCCGAAAGGCGACCTTTCTGCATGAAATAGTCCGTGAATTCCTTTCTAACGTCTTCCGCTAATTCCGGAGCCCGCCGATCTCGTATGGGGCGCATATTTTGCATTCCAGTGGTCTGTGCTTCGGAAACATCCCTTCTCCAGTTTCCTTCGACAAGACTGTCCCCAACAAAACTATCCAATTCACCCGGTGGACAATATATCTTACTGGATGATCCAGATCGAAGGAAATTATGTAAATACATAATTGCAGTTACAATGAGGCTAGCTTTGTCGGAATTCACTAGAAGAGGTTTCTGAAGCACTCGAAACACTGCTGATGATACACCAAAAGCATTTTCAACTACTCTCCGGGCTCTACCTAAACGATGATTATAAGTCCTTTCACTTGACTCCTTCTTGCGTACACCTGCATACGGCCTCATTATATTTGTGCGTAAAGCAAAAGCTTCATCGCCCAAAATAACAAACGGTACGTCTGCAGATCTACCAGGAAGAGGTTTTGCATCAGGAAGACCCAGAGAGTGGTCTTCAAGCTTTTTGTATATCGCAGAATGCTTAAACATGACCCCATCGAAAATGGGGCGCCCGACGTCAATAAACAAAAAATTACATTTCGCATCCACTAATGTAAACAGGACTATGCTGTGGAATAGTTCATCGTTATTATTCTCTGAGCCGGTATTTAGTGTTGTCTGCAACATTATATGTTTGCCATCTATTGCACCAATCGCATGTGGAAAGTTCCATGTTTCATCAAATATATTAGCACATTGGATCCATTCTTCGGGAGTGTTTGGTAGCTGCAATTAATAACTTCACTTAATGATTTATAATTATTTCATTAGAAGAGTTGAAATAGTTGCGAAAATGGTAAGACTGTGGCATTTGGTGTGCTGTATACGAATATCATTATCGTTTTTGGTAGTAATTACAAATTTTTAAGATATTCAAGATATTTGCAAAAACTGTCTTAGTAATACACATTAGGAGACCAGAAAGTAATGTCGTTTCTTTTATATTAACTTCAAATAAATAAATTTATAACAAGTTTTTGTTTTTAATCAATTATGTAATCACCCTCGTTATCGACAACCTTTTGCTATTTAGTGTGCAAATTTTCAATACCTGATCGATAAAATTCAATTGATATACGATGAACTGATAAATGATAAACAAGTATTGACATTCGCAGAAAAGACATTACTTTCTAGTCCAACTAATACAATTTTATCCAAGCATTGCCAGCTGGATTTAAATATAGAAGGTAATCTAACATGATACATTGACATTCATTTCTAATTGAGTTTTAATAGACTACACTCTAAAAATGAATAAAACCCTTAAAAATAACATTCCTCCTGCATGGAAGTAACAGGAGAGACGCTATAGCTATTGTTGTGGCTATGAATGTGAAGTCATTAATATATTTGTTCTTATTATTGTCCTATATATTGTCCTATGTTTATCTTTAAATTATGAATATACTTGTAATATTATGAGGGGGAATGAAGACACCGCTTTTCAGTCGCGCGTATACTTCACTGACGCCATGTTCGCCACGCATGCGCAAAGAAACGCGTCCCGGCTCTGGCATCCATGCTGCAGTTCAGTCAATAAAAGAAATTATAAATGTAATACACATTTCTCCCTTACCTTTATATGATCCTTCAACGTCTGAATAAGGGCTTCGCACACGAGGAACACGCTCCGCGAAATACTTTGGGCAGACATTTTGAATAAGTATGTCAACGAGGTGAAGGAGTCTCCCGAGGCGAGGAACCGCAGCGCAACCGCCAACTTTTCCTTCGCGCTTACACTCGCCCGAAAGGTCGTACACTGCGTACTTATTAACGGTGCTATTTTATTTAAAATGTGCTCGAAGTCTGTCGCATGCATGCGACAGAAGTTCCCGAATTGTGTGAGGGATAAGTCCTTCATTAGCGATTCCGCGACATGTGTGTCACGATTTTTGTACAACTCAGACACCCAAAATCGCCGCTTTCGTGCGGTTTTTTTCTTATTTCTTCGAGCCATTACTAATACTAGCAACGCAGCAGCAGCGACTTCGGAATCCATTTTCACGACTAGTCACGGCTGTCGCAAAGGAACAACCAGGAACAACTAAAGTGAACTGAAACAGGGATGCCAAAAGCACGGAGATCTCCGCGTTTCGGTCGAAAACCGAGATATGCGGAGATTATGCGGAGACGACTGCGCAGCCCGTTTGCGCATACGACGAAGACAGAAAAACGTTCCGTCCTTTCCAAGATCAGGGTCGGTTTAGCAATATTGGAGCCCCGGGCAAGATTATCGTGGCGCCCCTTCAGGGGTATACAGGGTGTCCTAAAAATATTGAAGATCCTTGAAAGGGGTGGTTCAGGAGGTGATTTCAAACAACTTTTTCCTTAGCGAAAATATTGTCCGAGGCTTCGTTAAGGAGATATTAACAGAAAACGCTGACCAATCAGAGCGCGAGTATGCCGGTGGAGTGCTCGCGGTAGCATATGAGCGCGGTCGCCTAGCGCGTAGCCACGCCTACTGCTGGCGCTCCATCGGCATCCTCGCGCTCTGATTGGTCAATGTTTTCTCTTAATATCAGCTTAACGAAACCCCGCACAACATTTTCGCTAAGGAAAAAATTGTTTCAAATCACCTTCCGAACTACCCATTTCAGAATGTTACAACATTTTTGGAACACCCTGTAGAATAAATATATTTATTTTTCCCTCCATGTATGTTAAGGATTTGATATATTAGACCGATAAATTGTATAATTTATAAATAATGTTAAGTCGAATAAAATGAATCTAAACCAAGCATTGGCATAGCTTTATTCAAATAATGAATTACAAAAACACCATGTAGTGTTTTAAGATATAATGTCAATTTGCATTTCAAATTATAATTTTTAGTTTACACAATACGTATCAATAGTTTATCTTTTATTCCTTATTTGAATTTGCATCTAAATAAGATGGTGGCCATCTTTGATTTAGGTAAATAAACATGCGCTGTTAATTAACTCGTTGCGACTCGTTGTTGCTCGTTTCTGTTTAGCGTAGATTCGAAGTATAAATATTTTTTACTGGTTTTATTGACATCGTCATATTTTTAAACTTAGTTTAATTATCTTTTCTATTTTAAGGGTGTTTCAGATACGATGAATCTAGCAACAACTACTAGATTATTTTGTGGAAGAATAAATAATATTCATAAGTTAGGAGGTTATGTGACTCGAGATATTGCCACAGTTGAGGACTTCAAAATCAAATGGACTCGAGCACCTGTAATTCGTGAAATAGATCCCAGACAAAGTGGTGATTTGGGTTTAGATATACATGTCGATCAAAATGACATTCGTCTTTATTACGAAAATTCTAAAGAATGGGAGGGGTTAGTAGATTTGCTTGTAACTACTTATTTATGACTTAATTGTGACACACTTTAGAGAATTCTGAAATATATATTGATATATAGATTCATTAAGGTCTCTGATAAAAAATTGAGATGCTAATTTATCTAATTCTGCCATAATTAGCATTGCATCCGCTGAACAACAATACTCGCATGTTATTTCTCAAAAGATGATACTACTTTGCTATTGTAATTTAAAAATATATGAAAAATCCCACTTTACGGTATCCTGATTTTATTAGAAAATGTAAACGAGTAGTGTAGCATTTCGCAGAGAGTATACATGTAATCGGTGTAAATTCTGTGCACGTAAAGGCAACATAGACAGTTTAAGATGGTATTACATGTTTTTAATGGTACCATGCATTTCTCTTATATAACATTCTACCACTAAAATGTTAAAATACATTTTTAAAATTGCAAAGTTGCCAGTACTTTTTTTCAATAATAGTGTTAGTAGAATAGTGTTTGACATTAACACCATAATTAAATCTTAATGCAATAATGATTAATGGAATGTACATGTATATTTCTAATGAAAAAAGTAAGGATATTCATGCGACAGCTTACAAAACTATAACAAAAATTACATTTATATAAATCTTAAATAGAAAGCTCGAGAAGATGTGGGAAGAATAAAACACTAAAACAAAATATAATTAAAAATTGTCATTAGTACAGATCACAGTAAAACAGAGTGCACCTATATTAACAATATGAATAATGAATTAAAAATTTGTATGATATAGCGCTAACGATCTTGTAAGGAAGATGTTCTCTATAAAATTTCAACGTGCGAAAGAAGTGAGAAATTTGAAGAGAGAAAGAGCAATGGCACTAGTAAAACGGCATGTTTGCGATCGAGGTTCTACAGAATCCAGAAGTAAGTAAGTTTATAAGTATAAAATATCTGTGAAGATTTTTCTCTATGTAAAGATTAATGACAATTCATTTCTGTTTACATTAATTTGTATATCAGCTTTTGAAAATGATCTACTTCTAAACCTTATTCCTTATGCACTCAAAGTTTGAACTATCATTTTTACAAAACCTGTATCGTGACCTCATATAATTATATTACTATTAATTTCTTAAGTAGGTAACTAAACATAAAGACAATAATTGCCTTGAAATTTAATAGTTTAATTAGGGTCTCTGACAAAAAATTGAGATGCTAATTTATCTAACTCTTCCATAATTGGCATTGCATCTGCTGAATAATAGTACTTGCATGTTATTTCTCAAAAGATGATACTACTTTGCTATCGTAATTTAAATATATTTAAAGTTTTACAATATATTTATTCTGATCTTAAATTATGTACCTGTTTCAGCCATTTACAACTGTAATTGTTGATTGTATTAGTCGTGTCGATCTTAAACAAATGTCTCATTTTCCATTCAGCCTTTATCTACTATTTATTGAATATTTACATATATACATTGTATAAGTACTTCATAACGATAGACAAATTGTTTCAGTTGCAGCAATGACGAGTGAAATACTGTACTTTCAGCAATTTATGAAAGAATATCCAAGAAACGTAATCATGAAAGTATATTTGAAAGAATTGATTGACAAAAGGAGGAAATTCCTCAACGATTTACGTAAATGGGACTACAAGCGATTCGAATGGGTTCTTGAACGGATGAATCTTGTTTTTAAAGCTACACCAGTGTACGATATCTTTTTTCTTTGATTTACACAAAATTCGTAGAATTACCTGATTGCTATCTTAATTTCTGATGTGTAATATTGTACATCTTTACATGTTATTATTTGTATCATTTGCCTTATAATGAATTGTAGAAAAGAAGGTCCGGTATCAAGAAAAGATTCACTGAGAATACTAACGCAACAGCATTGCGATAACATCGTTCAAAGCAAATTGAATGCTTATAAAAAGGAATTAAAAGCGCAACAGAAAAATTTTTACCGTGAAAAGGCTGAAAAATTAGCGTTTATTTTAAAAGAAGAAAAAAGATGGGGATTGAAACCATCTGTAACAGAAGAGGATATTGAGGCTGCACGGAAAAAAGCAGAGGAATTGTCAAATTAAATAAATCATAAATTAATTAAATTTAGTTAAACAAATGCTATATTTCCATCTGTCTTTATTCAGTTTTACCACTTTATCCCTTGATATCCTGTTTTAATCAGCATTTATTAAGTTAAATTTGTTTTCGCTGATCAAGTGAATATTCTTTTTAATTATTTTTTATATCGAGCACAAGTATCTAATTTTTCATTTACAAATATACATATTTCTTCATTCCAATGTATTAAAGAAAAATTTGCATGTACTCTTTTTCTTGGTACTGGTTAGACTAACCACTTAAAAAAATCAACAATTATTTCTATTTTTCTATAAATTATTACAAAGTATGTTAATATTTTTGATAACATATTATTGTCCCTGGAGAATATGTTACTTCACAGAACCTCGTTTCTGTTCGTGAGAGATGCACAAATTTTCTCATTTGTTATTATCATAATTAGTATAATTTTTATTGCTAGTACTGTAATGAAACTTGAGAAACAGTGAATCGCAGTGTGCTGCTGTGGCGCTGACGATAGCCTGGATAGTGCATACATTACGTAAAGCCTTTTAGATTCTCAAATTCTTCGTTAAAGTGCTCTTACGCAAGACGAGCGCATAGAGTTTGAGAGGTTATTTATTTAATTGCACCAGTAGTTCTTACTTTCAATTTTTCTTTATTCATTATAAAAATCATACATTATTATACCTAGATAGCATGGATAGTCTTATGGACGTCCATTTTATGTCCAGTTTATGTTCGGAACCTCCAACGTCTTTAGGTCCATGGGACCTGAATTCTGTACGTCCCTGGGACGCCTCCACCTACAAAAAAATGGGACCTAAATTTTGTACGTTCCTGGGACGCCTCCACCTACAGAAAAATGGGACCTAAATTTTGTACGTCCCAGACCAAATTGATCAATGAACATATCAATTAATAGAGTGTTAAAAAAACCATTTGTGCCAAGTATCAACCCCGTACCCTTACTGGAAGGGGCCCTTACTAGTTACAGAGCAAAATGGAATTTACGGTTTAAGCTGTATATCTTATGTCGTACAGTATCAAAAATTTTGAAAAAAATTAAGGATATCCTACCTTATGGCGTACGTGTTTGTGAATTTTTTCAGAATTTTTCACTGCAAAATGGATTTTTAAAAAATTCGAAAAGTTTAAATATAATTTGTTTTGATAGAAACTATGAAATGACGACGTTTATATTTTTACATTGTTAGTGACCTTGAACCAAATTGATCAATGAACAATCATATAACAAAGTGTAACAGAATTTTTTCAGAATTTTTTACTGCAAAATGGATTTTTAAAAAATTCGAGAAGTTTAAAAATAATTTGACACTGTTTTCGTGTGATATTATGTTGTTATTTATAGTAATTGTTATCTGATTTTTTTATATCATTATTTGTAACATTTAAATATGCTTTTCGTTCGTTTATTTTTATTTTCTATTTCTTAAGGATACTATGATAGATAAAAAGATGATCTCAAGGCCACATTGCATTATTTTATTATAAGTGTAATCAATAAGAGTGATAAAATCAATAAGCAAATTGAAGAGTAAAATTATTACGCTGATTGAATTATTACGTCAATTGAATGTTTCGAAGTTTGTTTAACATGAATCATTTGTTGCTACTGTATACGTATTTGTATTCCAAGCAGACGATGACGTTCCCACGATTGCACGTTGCGCATCCCTCGTTGTACCTAGAAGAGCCAAAAAATGTAAGTGAACGTACTCGTGCATACCGGGTGATTCAAATCGAAAATAATTCTTCTCATTAGATTTCTCGATTTTATCAATAACGTACACGTATACTAACACCTTATATTAAATTTATTTTTCAACTACTTATCGTCCGTGCAATGTTTCTACATTTTTCAACTACTTATCGTCCGTGCAATGTTTCTACATTTTTCCACAAAACAATGCAACTTGATAATCAAACTAAATAAAAAATAAATCAAAAATTTCTAACCAGTTTTAATGATTACAATAGTTCTGACGAACATACGACCTATATTTTACCTTTATATTTCTATCTCTATGTTTATAGTGCGAGACAGTTGAAATAAATAAAAATTCTATTTCTGTTTTGTGCAATATTCAATTCCAATGTTCCATGTTTTCTTTTATGTATATTATAATTATATAAATATATAAATTTAATAATATAATATAAATATAATTTATATAAATATAAATTCTTATATATGTATATATATTTAAAGGAAAACATGGAACACTAGAATTGAATATTGCACAAAACAGAAATCGAATTTTTATTTATTTCAACTGTCTCGCGCTATAAACATAGACATATAAAGATGCATAATTTGACAAAACTATTGTTTGATAAATAATTAAACTATTATTTGGTAAATAATTAAACTACTATTTGATAAATAATTTGCAAACAACAGAAATCGTATTTTTATTTATTTCAACTGCCTCGCTATAAACATAGAAATTTAAATATAAATAATCTGACAAAACTATTATTTGATAAATAATTTGCACAATCCAGTAATCGAATTTTTATTTATTTCAACTGTCTCGCGCTATAAACATAGAAATATAAAGATGCATAATTTGACAAAACTATTATTTGATAAATAATTTGCACAAATCAGAAATCGAATTTTTATTTATTTCAACTGTCTCTCGCTATAAACATAGAAACATAATGATAAATAATTTAGACTTCCTTGTCGTTCTACTATATAAAGGAGAATAAACGAGCCATTAATGGATAAATTAATCAGTGTTAACAATAAATTGAATAATGAATAACATCGAATAAATATTCACTTCTTAATCAATTAATATACAATTCAGCTGGATAATATTTAAAATGCAGTTATGCTCACCCTATATAAGCTGTATATAAAGATGAGCTGGATGCTGATGTCCTATTCTCGAGAGGTCCGTCGTGAAAGTTTCATTGGATCTTCTTAAAACGCTGAAAATCTATTCCTAAGTGTACACACGTGCTCTAATATTCTCGATTAACTGTGAACCGTGGTTTTGCTTAACAAATTCTGTTAAAATTGTTTAATAAAATTCTGTTCATATTTTTTCAAACAGAAAATGTGATTTATTTTTTTAAACAATCCTGAATAAGTGGCTTATCAGGAAGGGGTTTTTAACAATCTCTGATACGTCATAAATAAATAAATTATTATTCTCACATTTGCCATAAGATGAAGTCATCGTTTTCTAAGGGTGTTATTAACAAGGTCGGTAACTATCTACAAAAATTCTAATCATTTCAGAAAGTAACATCTAATAAAAAATCTTATACTATCATATTTATTCGATTAAAATTTACTATTGATGATTTAAAAATTTAATAAGCAGCAGTGAACCCCTTTGTATTGTACATGTTCATCTAACTGCAGTTAGAACGTTTAAATAACAACATTTTATTTTTATAAATTATATACCTAAATTACTCAATAACAATATTTTACTATTTTACCTTAAATTAATTCTCAATCTCAATCAATTCATTCTCAATAAATTAATTCTCAAAAACTAACTAAATTTTATTGTAAATTATTACACTGTAAATAAAAATTTATTGAAGATTATAATTAAATTTTAGATTATAATCATATTTATTCGATTAAAATTTACTATTGATGATTTAAAAATTGAATAAGCAGCAGTGAACCCCTTTGTATTGTACATGTACATCTAACTGCAGTTAGAACGTTTAAATAACTATATTTTATTTTTATAAATTATATACCTAAATTACTCAATAACAATATTTTACTATTTTACCTTAAATTAATTCTGAAAACTAACTAAATTTTATTGTAAATTATTACACTGTAAATACAAATTTATTGAAGATTATAATTAAATTGCTTTTTTTTTTAATTATATATTTAATGTCGCATCAACCTTTGGTTATTAGCGACAGTTTCTTATGAGGTTTAATGTTAGATGTTGGTCCATACATGTGCATCTTTAAGTAGCTGAATTATTTTGTTAAATTGTTTTTTTTTTTTATTTATTTACTTCCTTCAAAACAATCAGAGTTGAACGTTCAAGAAACGGTAATCTAACAATAAGTAGCAACGCGTATGTTGGTTAAGAATTTATACGGGCACTCCTTGAGAGTTCGCAAGCATATATGTTGCACAATGGGAATCTGGTGCACGCATGCGCGATAGATCGTCGAATACCAGCGAGTCCCCGCGCGTTAACTTGGCCGCTGCTTCGATACCAAATGAAATTAATTGAAAGTATTAGATTGTCCTAAAAGTTTCTTTCGTGAGTTGCATTCAATTATTTTCTGTGGCAGTGTTTATATAAATAGACAATCTAATTTCTTAGAGATTGATGCTGTAACAGTAATGGAGTGAAATGAATTGTACACAATTTTGTAATTTAACAATTTTGTAATTATTAATAAAACGAAAGAAACTTTTGGGACAACCTAATAGCTTCCTAAAGAAGTTTTTCATATGTTACGATTATTATTCGATGTAATTTATTGTGAAACGAACGTGAATTATTTTATTATTGATACATCACGATAAGGAATAATTTCTTTTTCATTGGACAATATTAATATAGAATATTGTATCACTCATAGTACGTGCACATAACATAAGAACAAATATTTTTTTATTTTTATAAAGTAACATTTACAGTGAACTAAATGTACTAAAAAAAAAACATTATCACTCGCAAGAAAAATAAAATTTAATTAATAAATGAAATATAAGATGGGAATTTAAGATGAGATTTTCTTTGTTATAGATTGTTATCTTGTGCTGTTACTTCAGGCTGATTATCGCTGGCGCTCATCATCAGTAAGATGATCATCAGTACTATTTGGTTGGACAGAAAGTTTATTCGATTTGTGGTGATTGTTGTTTGCCTGCAATTTTGGACGGTTATTAAATTGACGAGGTCTTCTACGAATGTGGAGTCATGAATTTGTTCAAAAGATGGAGAAATATCGTAAAACAAAATGGAGAATATATTATAGAGTAGATATAATTAATAAATAATTATATGTCTACGAAAAATCACTGTTTATTTGTGCGTTAAAATCCGAATCAACTTTTTGGCCAACCTAACATATCTAAGTTGTGTTATGTATAAAACGTAAGATAACAAATAATACAGCATAACAAAACATGATATAGGGAAATACAATATGAATAAACATAACAAAGGAAAACATAGTATGAAATACAGAATAAATGTAGAATAACATAGTATATCACAGCATAAATCGACGTAACGATTAAATACGACAGTTTAGAAAAACAAAAATTTAAGGATCTAACAATTTTTAATTTTGCTTAATGATATTCTTCTAATAGATTACTAGGTGTATCATTATATTTGTAACTATAGTTACATATTATATATGTATAATATACAGAGTGTCCCAAAAATGTTGGAGGTCATTGAACGGGGTGGTTCGGGAGGTGATTTGAAACAACTTTTTCCTTAGTGAAAATGTTGTCCGAGGCTTCATTATGGAGATATTAACAGATAAAGCCCGGTCAATCAGAGCGCGAGTATGCCGGTGGGCCGTCCACGGTAGGCGTGGCTACGCGCTAGACGATCGCGCTCTGATTGGTCGGAGATTTCCGTTATTATCTCCTTAACAAAGCCTCGGACAACTTTTTCGGTAAGGAAAAAGTTGTTTCAAATCACCTTCACTCTGTATATACAGGGTGTCCCAAAAATGTTGTAAGACCTTGTAAAGGGTGGTTCGGGAGGTGATTTGAAACAACTTTTTCCTTAGTAAAAATGTTGTCCGAGGCTTCGTTGAGGAGATATTAACGGAAAACACTGACCAATCAGAACGCGAGTATGCCGGTGGACCGTTCATGGTGGGCGTGGCTACGCGCTAGGCGCCCGCGCTCTGATTGGCCAGTGTTTTCCGTTAATATCTCCTTAACGAAGTCTCGGACAACATTTTCGCAAAGGAAAAAGTTGTTTCAAATCGCCTCCCGAACCACCTCTTTCAAGGACTTCCAACATTTTTGGGACACCCTGTATATGTTATAATACATTATCTCAAATAAGAATGAGTGGAGTCAAATTTTGTTTATTCAACTCACAATCATTAATTTCAATTTCATTTAAAAATAAGAGAAATAAAAAGCATTTGTACTTCTATGATCTACGACGAGCTAGTAACAAATAAAACGATGTTTCGTCTTCAGGAGGTTCCCCTGCGCGCCAATCGACGCGTTTTCCGTAAATGGTGCAGCAGTTCCAGTTGCTTGTGCCTTTCAGCCAATCGGAAGCAGAGTCGAACCACTTCCATCTTATGTCAAGGTCTCAACGCCAATCGCGTACAGGCCTCTACCAAAGACGTCGTCACTGGTATACATCGCTCCCCCAATTTTCAAAACGGTTTCTGCTGTCTCTGCATCCGAGACAAAAAGCGAAAAAGAAGCGGAGCACATGGTAATTTAAATGCCACCAATATTTCTCTTAAAGAAATCTATCGAAAGTTAGCAATTAACACTTTCGATATTTCCTTAAATTCAAATTTTATTTACGATAACAGACACTTTATAGTGACTCACTCACACTATAGTGTGTCCATAATACTTACCATACATATTTACCATTACATTATTAAATTAATATTGTCCATACTTTTTGAAATTTGCAACTGGGAAATTTTCAAGTGGACACCCTCTATATAAACAAAGATATGTATTTTGCAGGCCTATCCAAGGTATTCGTTCAACTATGGCGTCCTAGATGGATATACTGGCGATTCAAAGTCAGCCTGGGAAGAAAGGGATGGTGACACAGTGAAAGGTGAATACTCCGTGGTTGAAGCAGACGGATCAATTAGGACAGTTACCTACACAGCGGACCATCACAATGGATTCAACGCCGTTGTCACAAGGAACGAACCTCCGAAGAACCCAAAACATGACGCCAACTTGAAAGCATTTTTACCAGCAGTGATTCTCTCTCACCCCCGTTAAAAATAACAATTCCCGAAGATAAATCGTACAAATCGGTTGAAATATCCGTACAAATTGCAACATTGTTTAAAAATACACTTTGTCGAATATTCGAATATATATGTGCATAGATCTCAGCAGTATTCCTATGTTCTTATAAAAATGTAATAAAAAAATGTTACATAAAAGTATTATTAATGGGTAGGCCGAGTTTTTCCAGAAAAGATGAATCCAAACGATAATATTTTTCGGCTACTTTTAAGGAAGGGGGAGACCAGGAGAGTCTGGTTCAACCAAGGTTTTTTTCTAATTTTTTCAGTTTTGTTTAGATATAATTTATTTTTATTCTTGAAACTTTTTTCCATATAAAGTACGTTCAACGAAAAAAATTTGACGTTGAAGATTTAATTTGAATATACAGGCTGTTCCAAAAATGTTGTAACACCTTGAAATGGGTGGTTCGGAAGGTGATTTGGAACAACTTTTTCCTTAGCGAAAATATTGTCCGAGGCTTCGTTAAGGAGATATTAAGCGAAAACCCCGACCAATCAGAGCGCGAGTATGCCGGCGGACCGCTCACGGTAGCGTAGGCCACACCCTAGGCGTCCGCGCTCTGATTGGTCAGGGTTTTCCGTTAATATCTCCTTAACGAAGCCTCGGACAACATTTTCGCCAAGGAAAAAGTTGTTTCAAATCACCTTCCGAACCATCCACCTCAAGGTATTACAACATTTTTGGAACACCCTGTATACATATACAGTATCCCAGAATTAGTGTAAGAACCGGAAGTGGGGAGTAGCTGAGACGATTCTGAACAACAATTTTCTTTGCAGAAATGTCGGGTGACACTTCGTTTTTGAATTATTAACGAAAAACCACCGACCAATCACTGCGCCCGAGTTGCGCGCGCTCAGCTGTGAGAGTAAAGATGGCGACGTAGCTGGTTGAGCACGCGCTAATCGGGCGCTGTGATTGGTCAATGCTTTTTAGTTAATAATTCAAAAACGAAGCGCCATTCGACATTTTTGCAAAGGAAATTGTTGTTCGATATCATCTCACCTACCTATCCCCCTCCCCCCCACTTACAATTTTTACACTAATTTTATGACACCCTGTATGTAAAATAGATATAGCAGAAGGACCGGATTTTCGATTAAAACTCCGAGACAAACATAGTTCTAAATTAGCACTACAAAAAACTACAAGACTACATGTTAAACATAATTGATATTTAGTTGTGCCTCATAAGATTTATTTTGTAATTTTAATTAATGTTTTGTGTAAGGATACATTTCATATATGTTCGCACCACCGTGTGTATTTAATACGAACGTAGTAAATAGTAAAGCAGTCGAAAGTATCCATCGCTAATTAAATGCGAGGATTGTTAAACGATAAAAAGATGAGAATCCAGAAAGAAAGGTAAAAGAAACATCAACGTTAAGTATAAATTGTTGTTCTTATAAATAAGTGTTCATAATACATTTTTTTTTTGTACTTATACTACAAAGTATCTTAGTTATTTACAACGAATCGACACGAAAAAACGGTAATAATTCTTCTACTTCTTTGTTAACAATATTTATATTTGGGGTTACAAAAAAATATTTTTTTTTTGTAAATTTTAATTTTAGAGTACCAACGTCATCGATTTAAAAAATTGCTATGACGAAAAGATAATACAAAAAGTAATACGTTATCATAAGAAAAAAAAAAAAAAAAAAGTATGAGTATTATTCGCGTGACGAAAATTTGTCTGGAATATAAAAAATAAGACAATTTTTTTTGCCTATGTTTTAAAATTATCTTAGTTATTAAAACCTTTTAGATTGATATACGGTAGCTTTACTTTCATGCGCAATTTAATTTTAATCTGATTAGTACCGTAACTAAAATTTTCATATGTACGTTATAAAAAATGAGGAACAGTGTAACACAAATAAAGAGATTACTATAGACGTTAAAATTGAAATTGAGAATATTATAATTAGTATCTCTTGTACTAAACTTAAACAGAATTATCACAAAATGTGACTAATTCCAATTCTTAGAAACAGATCTCATATTTATTAAAAAAAGAAATAGAACGAATAAAAACTGAACGAAACGAGATTCTCAATTCTATCATACCTAGCCTTAAACCTAACAAATACTGCTCAACTGACTGAATACCGAAAAAAAAATTTCAATTTCTTAATACTCGAATTGATTCCGTTACGAATTCAAACTAAATTTGTCACAGTACCATATTCATCGTTCTACAATTAAACATATTTCATTTGTTCGGGGTTAAACGAGAAAAAATAATTACTGAAGGATTCTACAGAGTGACAACAAATATGTAGGATCCACATCATTTGAGGATCAAGTCTTTACATAAATAGAAATCGAAAAGTCGCAGGAGAAATTACGCATTGATGCATACTCGCTGCACTTGAAAATGACTTGGAATTCTACAATAAAGTTTAGGCAAGATGGTATGATGTCATCAGCATTGATTTAGAACCAAGTTTTGGGACAAGTATTTCTTTAGTTTATTTCTTAAATTTAGATAAAATATTTTTTGAGATTCAATTTAGGCCCAACTTGTGTTAACTCAATTACTAATAATCTCATATCACCTGACCCAAACTTTATTATAGACTCTCAAACTTTATCGGTGGTCGATTTAGTACAGATTGGGTCAAATATTTCTCTACTTCATTTCTTCAATTTAGATCAAATATTTCTTGAGATTCAATTTAGTCCCAACTTAAACTAAACTGTTAACTAAATTACCAAGAACCTCATAACACCTGACCCAAACTTTATTATAGACTCTCAAACTTTATCGTTGGTCATTTGGATTAGCGGGTGTGTATTGAATGTAAATTTGCACATCTGCTTGTAAATTTCATCTGCTTATATCTCAACAACGAAGCCTCAAATTATAAAATGGTAAAGGACTTTTCGATTTGTATTTGTGTGAAGACTTGATCCTGAAAAAAGGTCCTGTATATTTTTTGTTAACACTCTATACTTCAACATCAAGCGATCTGTCCTTTAAGACCAATACTTTGAAGGGTTACATGAGTTTTGAGAGCCAAACAGGAAGCACATTTTCTATACATTTTTACGAACAAACTAAATAAATTATATTATTGTAACTTACGTTGTTCGAAAGAGTAACATCTGAACGATATTTCATACATTTTTCATTAAAAAACATTAAAAAATAAGAGCTTTATCTGAAATCAAAAACCCAAATATTTTTGGTTAGTACGTGAGTATAGCTCGTGATTGAACAAAGGATTTTCTTTTTCTTTGAACGTAATTTATTTTACAAGATAATACATGGTCTAGATTTAACAGAAAATTGGACAGTTTTGTATACAAACCTGCTAAAAATTCAAATTTCAATTTTTGAGAGCTGTACTCAAGTACTAATAGAAAATATTTGGTTTCTTCATTTCAGATAAAGCTATCATGAGTAATTCCTGACCACCGCGAGGACAGTTTATGTTTTCTAAAGGATCTTTGAAAACCACTCTTATTTTTGATTATTTTTTAATGAAAAATTTATGAACTATTGTTATCTTTCGAACAACATAAGTTGATAGAATACAGTGGGTTGTTCGGAAAATAATCTCGTTTCTTTGTTAACGCAAAGAAAAAAAAATTTAATTGTTACACGTTTAGTTATATATTGACCATTTGGGTCAAAAATTGGTAGCGTAATTTCATGTTCATAAAAACTCTGATCTTTACTCAATAAAAACTGCTCTAAGAAAAATTGTACAGACCAGAACAAATAACAATGGAACGCATAAGATAAACAATTACACTGAATCAACTAAAATAATCAAAACATGTAGTGATTATACTGCGAATGCTTATACAAATTTATACTTGCACAGAGCCAGATGAAGAATTGAAATATAAATAAAAGCATGACTTATTTTCTAGACACTGTAATATATATTATATTGCTTAGATATTTTATATATTTTTGCATTTATCATAGAGAAATTTGTGCATTTATGGAGACCTGGCTGTAATTAGACTGATGAATTGTTAAATAAAACAATATTCTGCGGAAAGTGACGTAGAGCTTTTTTTACAAAATATTGAACACTAACGAAATGGTGCTTCTTTGAATCTACTACTACGCAGTCGATATTCCACCCCTTTTTTTTAAGAGAGTTTAGGGCAAAAGTCGTTGATTAAAAGTACCATTATCATTCCGGTGGACTAAATACGAATATTACTTTCCAAACTACCCATTTATTAGTTTGTCTGTAAAGTCCGTGCCGATTTTTGGTAGGTGGTACACGTCTGTTTAAATTGGAATAATTGAAAACAATTAACATGGGTATATCCCTTAAAAGGTGGAAAGGTCGTGGAACAAAATGGTATTTATATTGTTGCGAGCACCTTTTGGATGGACCCACTTCTATGGAGACGTACACATTTCTATTGTAAAGCTAATTGTTATTTATTAAAGTTCTTGTTAACTCGTTATGCCGAAACTCAACAATATAATTCAATAAATATATATCAAAATTCATATGTGCCTTTGAATTTTTCTTAAAAATTAGCACGAACTTTCTGGACAACCCAGTTAGTTTGTTATATTTATAGAAATATTTATAGAAAATGTGCTCTCTTTTTGGTCCTCAAAACCCACGCAGCACCTCGACTCAGCTTTTACCTTCCAACTAACTTCAAAACCCTTACGACTATTCGAAAGCCTTATAGTTCGTTCTTCGTTAAAAATATGACGCTCGTGGTGTGTTTCTTATAAAATAGAGTGAAGTATCGTGAGCAAAACGTAAGACTGTGATACGAGGAAGTAAATGTCCATTTGATCGTCCTTGAGAGGCGAAGAGCTATTGCAAACAAATAGCGAGCCAGAGGTGTTCTACCTGTTCCTAGACCTCTTATTGCTATTCTTTTTCGCACTGTTCCCAGATTTATTTTTCGACGACTCCTTCCCGGTGTTTTCCTTCAAGGAGATGTGCTCGAGGCTGCCGTTGCTCGCATGCCCGTTCGCAAACTGTCCGGATATCTCAGCGGAGGAAGACAGGGATCCGTTCTGATTATACTGGCCCGTTACGGAGTGGTTCTTTCCGGATGACTCCTTGTTACCGTTGCTAGTGGTGCTATTCCCGGTTGTCCCGTGGGAGTTCACGAGACTGCAATTGTCCTCGCTACCGCTGTTCCCGATCTGTGACTCCGATTCGCTGTACCGGTCAACTGGAATCAGGTTTCAATATGGGAAAACCGGGAATTCCGATTGGGCGCCAGGGTCGACTCGAACAACTTTAGTAGCAGTCTAACAAGGGAAGGCTCAGAAGTGATACTCACCGATTGCAATGAAATTTGGTAGAGTGATAGATCTATATCTGAAATAAGCAACTGTAATATTAGTAACTGTAATATTAGCTGTAGATGGCCAACCATTTTTGAGAAAAGTTAGTTTAAATATGTAGTAAAAGCCCATAGCGGGATGCATTCCTGTTGCTAACACAACTTCAAGCGGTATAGGTCAGCTGCATAGTGACTAGCATGGGCTTTTACTACATATTTATTCTATTTTATTTATTTATTATTCTAGATATAGATCTATCACTCTACCAAATTTCATTGCAATCGGTGAGTATCACTTCTGACCTTTCCCTTGTAAGAGTCAGTAACGATCTTACTTACATCATATCAAAATGAAAATAACCCTTTTTTTGTGTGTGAAAGTATAGTAACTGACGATCACATCACCTGGCAGCCAGTCGTTAGAACAAAAATGAAATTGGAAATTTTGTAACTCTACGTAAGAACTTTGAAGGGTTGTTTCACCCCATAAATATGAAAACTGGCCAATATATATATGAAACTATAACATACATACATATATATATAAAAAAAAACACACGTGTCAAGTATTTTTGTTATGCTCTATACATATGCAAAGTTTCAAAAAATCCGAGGCAGACATTTTGAAAACGTTTCTTGTTAGCAGACTGCTGATGTGTTTGCAAATGTACACTTATTTATGCATACACTTCTATATACAAGCTCATGGCCAAGGTCAAATCTAAAGTTACAGAAAAACAGATTTCTTTTTAATCTTAAAATGGTTATCGAGTCATTTTTTTCCAATAATGCATAGGTTCTGAGATAAGGCGCGGGTCCGTTACTTTTTGAAAGCCCTGTATAGTATAATACACATGTAGTTTACAGATTGTTATATATACAATATAATACTATGAATATTGTATCGTATATATAACAAAAAATAATAATATACAATATACATATACTATTACATTATATTCTACATATTACTTACTCGTATAATTGTATATACTATATGCATAAAAAACGTATGCTTATAATTTCTTACATCCATCAACATACATTGTTATAATTTGAAATTACCCAACCGAACGAATTTTTGGTAACAATGTTAAATGTAAACAAACTTTGTTTACACAAACAAAGCATGTGATAAGCTTTTAAAATATACTTTTCATTTTAAGACTAGAAGAGGAAACAAAATATTGTTTTTATTCAAGTATAAAACTTATTATTTCTGTAAATATTTCCAATTCTATAAGGTACGAAAATGATAAAGTTCATAAAACTGTAAGAATCCTGAAATTTGAAAGGAACATGCTCTTTTCAGCAGTTAGATTTTCAATATATTTTATAAATTAATTGCAACTACAAAGAAACAGACAATGCGAACAAAAATATTAGTAACAACTTATATAAAAATTGGATGAATGTTATTTAAATTAAAAGTATGAGTTATATTCTCATCATTAATGTGATGTGTTTGGTGAAATTCATTTTAAAAGTTTAAATTGACATTTTAAATGAGTAACAAAAATGAATTTTTATATCATCGCAAAGGTGAAATAACCCTTCAAAATTGGTTCTTTTAGGTGAACAATGAAACGACTATGTCAGAGATCAAATTGATAACTGAATAGTGGTCGATTGTAAAATTTTCAAAACAGAAACACAGGATAGCATTTGTTAAAAAGCTAGAGACACATTACATTTTATAAAATATAAAAGTAGTCATAATTAAGTAATGCAATACATAGCACAGCATCAACTATTTGATATACTATAAATACTCTACAAATTACAAAATAAGAATTTTAAATAAAAACGTGAAGATGAAAGAAGAAGAAAGCTTTCTCAATTACAACTAATGAAAGTATCGTAACATTATTGAAAACACATGCTGTAAAACAAGATTTTGTTCAATATGTAATACAGTCCCATTCATAAAAAATGTCGGTACCTAGAACTTTAAACCTGAATCCATATATTTTTTCCATCATTTTTTAAATTTTACAAACCTGAAATTTCCCAAACTTACAAAGTTATACGAATAAGAAAATCAATCAGTATTTTATCAGTACGTTTCCTTCTGAATATATCATACTAAAATAATTTAAGTTAAATAAACACATGTAATTAAAGATGAACAATCTAAACACTTAATTATTACTTTAACATATTTTAACGAATATAGTTATTTTTGTTCTGTAAAAGTATAATTGTTAAATAATCTTCCCAACATGTAAATGAAATTTTTGTGTTGCATTCGCGTTAATATAAAAACAAGAATTTATTCGGAACTTAAAATAAGTAACACTACTAAGATCCAATTTTCTACACTTTCAATGAATATATACAAGCAAAGAAAACTACAAAACTATTGACGTGCACATACAAAAAAAAGCAATACAACAAATGAACATCACTAAATTAAGGAATAATTTTTCATAAAACTTCGAAACAGGTACGAGAAACAGAAACATTAAATTTATTCATAATCGAGATACAGAAAAAAGATAAATATAGACGAAAACAAACAGCAAAAATCAATATATAAAGTTCTATGCTATGCTACTCTGAGAAGTCTAAAATGAATTACCATAAAAATAAACAGGGAATAAATCAAAATTTATTTATAACTTAAATACAGAAAAAAATAAAAAGTATTATGTCAAATTCGAAGTATGTTACTGAACATGCTTCGAACTTTTTGTCATTAATTTATCTAACTGTACTTCTTAACAATCCACATTTATTACACTCTTCTACTGAAAGTAAAATTTTAGAGAAAGTATAATCAATACAATGAAAAAAAGAAGTACAATGTAGAATAACTTAATAGCTAAAAAGTATTGTTCCCATGGATAAGCTAAAAAGAAAAATTGGAAGGGAAAATAGGATGAGAAATAAATTATATTCTTTTTCTGTTTAAAAGAAATAACTATCTCAGGAATATCCATTGAGGTCCTTACTTTTTTCCTGGGTATTCTCGACGAGCCCACTGACGGCCTGAAAAAATATAACCTTTGTGATTTAAATACATTTTTTCGTCTGATAAGTTAATAAATATACTATAAATTTTGTACTATTCATTCATTTCTTCCTGTTGCCTATTTAAAAAAGGTACAAAAACAAATAAACACACGAGGAATAATATCACAGTATGAATAAGGGGTAGTTCAAGTTTAACTACAATGGTTATTATTTATTAATGGTTAAGATGTATTAAGGTGATTAAACAGATGTATTAAACATTTTTCTAAATTAATTTGTAGTAATAATGGATTATATTATAATATGCCTTGCATGTTGAATACAAAAAGAATACCTTAAGTAAATCATAGTAATATAACTTTACATGTGTTTATGAGAATACATACTAATTCAATGGCAACAGTTTACATGATACCATATCATGTTTCTATATTTTTATAATGTTAATAATCAGGGAGTATAAAATATGCAACTTATTTTGGTCAGAAAAATTATGATAGTAATCTATTTCTAAATAAAAAGCATTATCAACTAAAAAATTAAAAATTGGAGAAACGCAGCATTGCCAATGGAAAATACAGATTAAATTTCAGAGGTATGAGTGACAATAAGAGTCATTCAGGTGCAAGCAGTGAAAATGCGGAATATCCACCTCTGTTGCATTAAATCTTATTTAACTAATTTCAATAAATGTCAATAATAATGCTCTGTTTACTGGTAATAAGTGTTTTTAGATATTCCCTGTTTTTCTTCGTTAATCTTCACATTAAATAGATAAATGTAAATTCATGTGGTATAAATAAATAAAAAACTTTATAATTTGATCTGTAGAAATGTACCATATTTTCATAGACAAAAGATCTATAATTGATTCAACACAGTTTTTAGTCCGCAGTGGTGCATGCAACAATCTGTATTTTACAGATGTGAAGAAATTTTGTCTTAAAAAATTAATATATTTGCTCAGACAATGATTCTATTATGTTTTACTATTAACATTTAAGTGATACATTTTTATATTTTTATTTTGGACTCATAGACTAAATGGAAAAATATATTTATTTCTTTTGGTTAAAAATAATTTACACATAACGATTTATTTTAGTTTTCTCTCTTGTTTATTTCATTATAATTTATTAACAACAATTATCATCTATGTTATAGATTGTCATGCTTATAAATTTTTTGTGTATGAAAATGTATGCTCATATGGACTAGATTACTCCATCCTTATTTATCCTCATATAATACTAATTTGATAAATATATTTGATAAGTATATTAAATTGTAACTTAAATTAATTTAAAGAAAATCTAGTTTTATGTAATTGTACTTCAATGCTGTATGTTTACAGATTTGTATATTCAATAATCATTTTCAGCATTGTTATTGTAACCTTTATCAAACAGTGAAAACAATGGAACGAGTAGTTTCTATCTATATACATATATCTAAATGCCAATATTTTTTATATTATTAACGAAAATATTTAATACTGAAAGTATGCTATTTGTACTTGTAAATTAATGAAATAACTCTGTATCAAAAGTAATCTGTGGGGAATGAGTGGTCTTCAACAGGGAGTTCTGGATCAAGATTTATTTACTCAAGGAAGGTCTTTCATTCTCTGCGCATTACACTCACTTTCTGTAATTTCTGACTTATAAGTAGTTATAATATCAAATATAATCTACTCACTGCCATGGAGGTGATGGAAGATTTTGAAAAAAGCCTTTCAGCTTCTTTAAACTTCCTATTACGTTTATCTGCTTTACTATTTGTATTTTTGTTGCTGGCTAAGTATCTGTCCCAACCACGTATTATGTTGCCATATAGTTGCGTGTCTTCCAAGTAACTACCCTCGAATGCATAGATCTGACGTTCTAAATTAGCAAGGGTATCCTGTATAACATTATAAAGAAACCATTTAGTATAATCTGAAGAAGATATGGGAAAACTTTTATTTAACAAACCACATATTAACGGAATAATAATTCAATAGACTAAATTTTACGATTCTATGAGTATATCTCTCAAGTTATCATCATATTATCATCAAGTTATCATCAAGTTATATGCAACTGGTTTCTTTCCAATATCATTTTATCAAGAGTTCTTGAAATATTGTGAAGATGGTTATTCAAAACAGATTTAATCATGCTTGAGAATACGTAGTATGTTACTAAATGGACTTTTAATTTGGCATAGATCTTATGTTATGGATATTTGGATTTAATGGACACTCTGTCCCAACAATAATTAATTTGCTAAATCAAAGTTCTATTATAGTACAGAATACCTTTAATTAGTAACTAGAAGTCTTAGCTAATCTAAAGTGTTTTATTTCCCTTTGCAAAATAGAGCTTGCTCAACTATGTTTATATTGTGTAAGAGAGTAGAAAACATTAAAAACAACTATGAACAAAAATTGTCAATACGTAAGAAACTTTTACTTTTAGGCTTCGATAAGTCATTTGTACCATACAATATATGTCACATAAAAAATAATGTAGACTTGCTTGAGACTAGTTCTTAAACTATTATTAAAAATACACAATAGTACAAGCAAAACTATTATGACAACAAATACATGTAATAACTATGCAAATGATATTTCAAAATACAATTGATATACGTTTATAAATACTGTGTGTAAGGAATACTTGATCGAAACAAAATATTAACGTAAAGTTACTTTATACGATAATTAAAAATATGTTTTAATCTATTTATGTATTATATATTCAGTTTCTACAAACATTTGACCCTTCATTACATAATAAATCTAACTTTGAGAATTTGGAACTACGAAAGAAACAAACCACAACAAAGAAAACAATACAGAAAAGTTAGGTTAACTTAACCTAAAAATGTGCTTAATACGAAAATTTACTCTTACTTTCATACTCTTTTAAGGAGATTAATAATTAAAAGCAATCGCAAGTAGAAACAAACACACACAACAAAGAAAACAATACAGTAAGGTTAGGTTAACCTAACCTAAAAATGTGTTTAATACGAAAATTTACTCTTACTTTCGCACTTTTTTAAGGAGATAAATAATTAAAAGCAGTCGCAACTATTCGTAATAAAATTGATAATATTTATTGCTCTAGACACGTGACGTGTCTAAGGACGAGAATATGTAAAAGAAAAGACGCAGTTTGACAGTTGATGCAATACTTACAGCTATTTCAGCTTTTCGTTTCACTAATTCAGCGAGTTCCGCCCTCAAATCAACCGAGGACTTCGTCGACATTATTTATTAAAATATATGTACATATAACACTAACAACAACCCGAATTCTCTTACTTTCGAAACGTATATCTGTTTCTTTACCATTAATTCTTCATTTTTCAATGAAAACTTTCAGTTCGGTCTGAAGTCATTCCTCTCTGAAGTAAGAATCGAATCATCGATGGCGCGAAAGTATTTGAATTAAAAATATCGAATACAATTTATTTAAGCGCACACAAGTATATTATTTATAAACGAACACAATTACATTTAATATATTTAATTAAAATACCAAATTTTTATAAAATATCCACGCTTAAATAAATTGTATAGCAGAGTTACTTAGAAATTTCAATTGAAATTTCTTTAAAGAAAATTCTTTAAAGAATAACATTTTTCGATTTTGGTATTTTTTTAAATTGAGGAATAAAATGATTACTTAAAACGATTAAACATAAACTATCTTTGAATTATATTTTTTAGTAAAAATTATTTTTTAATTATTTTTAGTAAAAATTGTACTACCAAATTAAGGAATAAAATGATTACGTAAAACAATTGAACTTAAAGTATCTTTGAATTATATGAGGTTAACTTTATTCTGATTGGTTTCAAAAAATGTCTACAAAAATCTAGTAAGAATTATAGGTTTTATTCATGTACGTCAAAGAACTCAATTCTTGTTGTATCGAGTTACTGAAACACTCTTAAATAAAAAGTCCTCTCCCACGACAGAAATCATTGTCGATGTCGATCTTACGTAACAGATTTCCCGTTAATTAAACTGTGCATCATTACCCATAATGCAGTTAATTATTGGTAACGATGAAGGTTACAGTAAAGTAAAAAAAAAAAAAAGGAAAAAAAATAATAGGAAAGTGGCAAAAGAGATTGCGCGCTTTAAAATAGGAAATAATCATATACGTTTTATCTACTTAGTTTCTAACAAGTAATTATTTCTTTAATCTTTTTTCTAATTTATTCATTTACCTTCGCATTTGTTTGTTCCCATTTGCGACCAGTGTGAATTACATTTCCCACATTTATATTCATATGCGAGGCTTAAATAATTTCTTACAATCTAGCAATAATTAAAAATAATATCTAGCATCGACAGTTGATTTTTAGATGTCGTAGTGTCTTGTTAATTTATTGTTCACGCTTCTTTCCATATTCCTATCTCTTGTAAACAAGAAGATAATTATGACGAGTTAAATACTTACTATTTCAATTTATTCATATCTTATTCTGTGTTTACTTTCTACAATTTTACTGTAACTTTAGCTACTTGGAGACTGCAAAATTGATCAAACATTTATCGTACATTGTATTTTGTGTTCGATGCGCTGTGATTTGTTGAGAAACTTTCGAAAAATGAGCACGAGTATACGAGTATATTCGCTTATAAATAATATACTTATGGTTTTTCACTACATTATAAATTTTGAGTAAATTATTGTTAATACTTATATTAATATTTCGTACAAACCAACACGGTGAATTACGAATAAAAAGTAATGAATTAATTCCCATAACCCAGCTATGGGAGTAATAAAAATAAGATAATAACAATTTAAACTTCACATGTCTTAAAAATATGTCCGCTAAAAATTAAAAAGTCACTGTTTTTAAATGACTTATTACATTTCTGTAAGCTCCACCACGAAACGAAATTTTGCACGTCTTATCTAAAAAAAACAACAAATGAAACATTTTTAAATTCAATCTAATCTCACACAGACAGGAAAACAAATAAGTTATATAACATGATAGAAGCATCTAATTCGAAACAATAGACGTATCTAAGCCTTATCTAATCAGCATTTCTATCAGTCCATTATAATCAATTTTGCTTGTCGCGTTATTTTCAACAGAAATTATTCTCAAAATAATTGTTTACTTATTATATATATTAGTATAAAATACAATATAATTGTCAAAAAAAGGATAATAGAAATGTCTCTTGAACTTTTTTATATAAAATTTGATTCCATTTAAGATTTATTTGCATTATTTACAATTCTAATACAGAAAAATGTGGATAACTGAAACCTCTGAAATCTCTTTTTACATTTATTTCTATTTTCAAAGTTTAACATCAATATAGGAACATATATTTCTTGTATTATTTTAAATATCTCACTTATCTCACACAATGAATATTTTTATTCATAAATTCTCTTTTATTCTCCATTCCTACATTTCAAATAAATTATACAAATAAATTATTCGCAATTTCACGAATTTTATTTGCATTTTAAAACAATCTATTTGTTACTACAAATGATTTACTAGCATATTTACCGGCTATAATTTACCAAGAGCCTCTCTCTTTAAATAATTCTTATGTTCAATGAATAATAAGAGCAACTTAATTTTTAATTAAATACGACGAACATACAGAATATTCTTTGTTTATTCATCTCCTACAAAAAGTTTCCTACCTCGTTTAAGAAAGCTGATTTTATTCCTTGATTTAAGAAAGTTAATTAAATACGATGAACATACAGAATATTCTTTGTTTATTCGTCTCCTACAAAAAGTTTCCTACCTCGTTTAAGAAAGCTGATAGAAATAGACGGAATTTTATTTGAATACTAAATATCAAGTAAGAATACAATATACAATATATTAATTTATTAACAGATTATATTTGAGTAACTGTTGTAGAGATCGACTTTGATTCGTTCTGTATTAAATATAATTTCATTGTATACCTGAAACTTCAATTTTTACTCATCGAGCAATGGATAAAATGTTATGTATCTGTTATTCATTATCTAAAGTTTGTATCTAAATAAAAGTAAATTCTGAAAATATATGGGACATGAAAATATTACTAAGACAATAGAAGAATTGTAACTTTAACAATACACACATGTATATTTAGTGTATATATTGGCTTATAAGCCAATGAAATAAAATAAATTTTTGAAATTCGTGTTAAATTTGTTCATTTTACTAATATTCTATTTCTCATTGTTATTTTAAACATCGAGTCTGAGTACCAATTATAATTCTTCACCTGTTATTATTCGAAGAATGTTAACTTCTAATTCAAATAATGTT